TCATAATGAGTTGGTAAGTAAAAGTATTTTTCAAGCAGCTTGGGAGGCCATAGAACAAGCAGGACTGGAAGAATTGCAATTAGCAACAGATATTGGAGAAGTAGATGAACGAGGAAATAGTCTAATTGCAGAGATTGTTGACAATGCATGGTCTAAGCGATCATATAAAGTTAATTATAAAGCTTTATCTGGAGTTGTAAGTATATGTTTTAATATTATAACGTGTGATCCAAAAACAATGTTTCTAAAGTAAGCCATGACCGACAGAATTGTGAATAATTTGTCATACGCGATTTTTCCATGGTCTACTTTAGAAATATTTTTATAATTGACATAACATATAAAGGGTTTATTTTTAAATGCACTTATTGTGGCGAAAACTGGAAAAGTTTTGTATGTTCCTTCTAAAAATAAGTATTGCCCTATCTGAATTCGGGCTTTAACTAAAAACATAAAAGCTGCAACTTATAAATGTTCAAAAAATTGGGATGGTTCGTCGACTTCTATGAAATCGGAACTAGTTTTAGAAGGATTCCGTAATAGTATAAAAAAGCATAAATTAAAATATGTAAAAATTATTGGCGACAGCAAGGTTTACCAAAAAATTTGCTTAGAGACGCAAAGTAAAATGCATAAACCATCTTCTCAGGAATTATTACACAAATTTGCGTGATCTTGCACAAAAAAAAAATACAGTTCAAAAAATAAAATAGTAAGACCAGGACTAAAAAAAAAATTATTTCCTGAAAATTTCACAAAAATCGTACTGAAAATAAAGGCTCGGAATGAATTATAAATTTTCGAGGTGTTCGGTTTGTTTTTAATAGTAAAAGTTTGCTTTTCAATATGTATTTCAATTTAGCAGAGCAGTTTTAACTCTATCATATGCAAATTTGCTAGAGGCAAAAGAATTAATTATTATTCTCGTCGAGGGTCTTACCAGCTGCGTTGTGAAACTGCAGCGCTTTGATGTAATGTAGGTACAGATTACTTTAATACTCCATGTAGAAATAAACTAGGCTATTACACACAAAGTACACTGAAAAAATAAAGAAAAAAAATAGCATATGCTAAAATGTCTGCATATAAAAACAAAGGCTTCATGAATTTAGAAAAAAACTAAAAGATAATCGCTCAGATTGATTCCGATTATGGTCTTCCAGAACAACCTGAATAAAAAGAATACGACGAAGCGGAAAATATATTAGCAAAACTAAAATTAATAAACGAATAAATTATAGAATTAAAGAAAAAGACACAGCTACAAAAATCAACATCTAATTGGATGGAGGAAAGAAAACGACTCATAACTGCATCCAATTTTGGAAAATTATGTAAACTTAAAACGATATCTTCCAATAATAAAATCCTTTTTTATATTTTAAGTTTACAACAAAGGTTATATACACTTGCGTGCAGTGGCGGCTCGTGACCAAAATTTTGGATGTTCACAAAGTTTACAATATACCTTTCTAAAACACTGACAGTTTTTTACCTACATCTGTACCGAGATCTATATTCTGCTACTGTGAACCCCTAAAATTTTGGTCACGAGCCGCCCCTGCTATAAAAAGTTAAAAACATTTATTTTTTCAAAAATGGTGGCAACACCAAACAGAAGTAATTTATTTGCTTGTCAGAAATGTTAAAAAGTTGCAGAAAATTACGGAAAATGTCCGTTACTTTGTGATTGCAATGGAAAAATTGTTTCTAATGTTTTTAATTCGTTATAAAACTCTTAGTATTCGCACCAAGTTTGATATTTTAAAATGGCTCAATTCTGGAAATTAAAGAAAAACAGATATTTTAACTTTGTTGACCTCTAGCGACCAAACGAAGCAAGTTGGTAAATAGGTAAATTTACTTAAGTTAACTTATTTATGGACACACAAATCTGTGGCAGCTTCATGAACACCCTGTATAGTTGACTACTAAGGACCGATTGCACCGTTGTGTTAACCGATGTTTAAAATGACATTTTTACATTAACAATTTCATCTTAATCTCCGTTTAAGACAACGGTGGAATCGGCCCTAAATTAAACCGATCCATTTTGAGATAAATCAGTAATTTAAAAACTACCCAATATTTCAAAAAGATTGGTCATAAATTATACATATTCTTGGGTCAAAAATAGGTCGATTAAACCATACAAAAGTGCACCCAATTTAAATGAATTTTTTTAACGTTGCTCTTAAACCGTTTGGCATTTTTTCATGAAATTTTATATGATGTGTTAGAATACCATGACTAATAATACCGAGGAAGAGGCAATATTTTTTTCTTGATATTTATAAGTTTTTGGAGGGGGTCACCGCTCTTTTCTCCACTCAACTTTTTTGTACTATAAAATTTAATTACAAATGAAACGCAACTGGAATGCAACATCCATTTGGAAACTTTTTTGTCTCTTAGTATTTGTTTGTATAAAGTTTAGTTTAGACGATACAGCCATTTGAAATGACAACTTAAAAATATTCAATGGAAATTCTACGTATAAAAAATATCAAAATCATAAAAATTACAAACTAATGTCATCAAAATAAAAAAATTAAATTTAATAGGTGTTCAAAATTACATTTTCCTCCTTTATACACTTACTACATAGTTTTAACAATGAAAATCGAATTTTGATATTTTTGCATCGTATAATTTACATTGAATATTTTTAAGATGTCATTTTAAGTGGCTGTATCGTCTAAAACAAACATTTTACAAACAAATACTAAGAGACAAAAAAGTTTCCAAATAGATGTTGCATTTCAGTAGCGTTCTATTTTTAATAAAATTTAATATTACAAAATAGTTGAGTAGAGAAAGGGGCGGTGACGCTTTCCAAAATCCTACAAAAATAAAGAAAAATATATTGCCTCTACCTCGATTTTGTTAGTCATGGTATTTCAACACATGTCAAACGGTTTAAGAGCAACGTTAAAAAAATTCATTTAAATTTTCATCTTATACACCCTGTAACTATTTTTGGGTGCACTTTTGTATTTTTGTATATAGGGTAAGTAAAGTTTAATCGACCTATTTTTGACCCAAGAATACGTGGTATAATTTATAACCAATCTTTTTGAAACACCCTGTATAATTATAGATACTCAAATCATAAATATAATAAAACTTGAAACCGACTGACAATAATTCGTTTGTTTATAATGTATTTGGGATTAATACCTATAGGTACTATTTATTTGTTTATAAATTTAATATTTCTGTTATATATCCTCCACCAAAATCTATAAAAAAAATTACCGAATTTAAATTTTTGGTGAAGGTATGAGCTCTGTGAAGCTGTCCCCCTGAAATTCGAAAATTTTTTGTTTTATTATATTAAAAACACTTAATAACGAGTATTTGGGCAAAACGTTGTCATTTCCCAGAAAATATTGGTACAGCAATTCCTTAGAAATAGACCTATAATGTGAAACAAAAATCATTGAAATCCTATCAATAGTTCAGAAGAAAAATAGCTTCAAACTTATGGTACATTTAAGGTGGTGCGTTAATTTTGGAGAGTAGTGTATATTAAATGCAATAGTGTTACCGAAATTCACAAATTTAAAAATATAGCCACTAAGAAACGTCATAATTTTGTTAATTATAACATTATTAAATATAAAAATAATAAGTTGTCCAAATTACAATATGTTACAAGTATTAGAAATTAAAAATTTAAAAAAAGCGAATTCAAAAACGTGCAGATGCCGTCACCACATCTTAACCAAATTTATATGGGACCACCCCTGAAGCACCCCCTTACTAACAAAAAAAGAATCATATAAATCGGACAAGGTAGTAAAGCAATATCGCTAAACATACATAAAAAACGAAGAGTTTGAGGATTTTCTCATGGTCCCAATTATTAGATTTTGACCAAATTTATATGGGACTACCCCTGAAGTGCCCCCTTTCTAACAAAAAAAGAATCATTGAAATCGGACACCGTGTTAAAGAATTATCGCTGAACATACATAAAAAAAAATAAAAAAAAATATTGCGACGAATTGAGAACCTCCTCCTTTTTTGAAGTCGGTTAAAAATAATATCGCACTATTACATATTATGTTTGTAAATAATTAATTTGTTATATATTCTTTTTATGTATCTATATCTACTATGTATATTTTAAATTAATAAATTTTGTTTTAAATATTATATCAGTCTATTTCTTGCAAGCAGAGGAAGGTATTATTATTCATGTGCCGAGTTTAAACATTTTAAAAGGGAATCCTTTAATATCTTATATACCTAAATGAAAATTTCCTTGGTTTAATCGGTCATTGTTTTTATATTCAATCGTTTAGCACTACATATGTTTCGAAAATTAATTTTTTTTCATCTTCGGATGAAGTCAAAATTTAAAATTTTAATATCTGTATTTTTATTTTTTATATCTGAGACATGTGCCGCGTTTATATCCCCCGATTAAATCATGGAGAGACCAACAATCAGTTACTAATTTCCCGATAACAACAGGTTGGCGAATATTGGGTATTTTTTTCTAAAGACAAATGTAAACTATATAGTTGATAAGTTTCCTTTTCTATAGATAGTATAGATATTTTCTTAAAAAGTATAAATGTTTACGAAATCTTTTTTACTGTAATCAATTAGGTACTATCCATAGTTTGATGAATTTGTTATTTATCCAGGAAAACCCTTGGGAAGACAGTTTTAAAGTAACCAGGAAACTGTTTCAATAAAAAATAAATGATATGTTTGTTTTCGGAACCACGATTACATTTTTGCAAGTCCGATACCTATGAAAAAGAGTGTACTCAAAAACGTTTACATATATATAACACAAGTTGCGAATAGATAAAGCGTCACCACAAAAATCAGTCTATACTAATTCTTTGTTATCATAAAACACGAACAATAAAAATACCGGTACAAATATGCAAGCAGAGCACATTCAAAAAAGGATAACGCTAAACTAAACTTACAAAACAAACTATAAAATAATCTATGTGTATAAAATTTTATCAACTTACCGTATGTTCGCTGATAATCTGACTTAGTTGTCATATCGTCGTTATCAAACACTATCAACTGAAACGTAACTAGCCTACTTGTGGACTTTTGTACATTCACGCACCAGTCTTGTCAGGAGTTAGAGAGAGATCAGTCAAGTTGCTAGGACTTCGCGTTACTTAAATCGGTGGGGGCGCAACTTCTGCTTTCAGCGATGGTGGGGCGGTACCGCCTCGAATTTATTTGTGCTGTCGTGTCCATCTTAGTTCAGCTATTAATTCGGTTGGATGTTTTTATAGCAGTTGAATGAAAGTTGTTTTGTTTTCAGTTAACGGTTTACCTATTCTACCAGTGTCTGCTTGATATAGGATGTCGAATTTGATTGGAAAACCGAGCCTTCTGTTGCACTTCGGCGCAGCTAGCTATTTTTTTTTGTAGTGTCAATTCTTAGATGATAATTTATTGTAGGTATCTACAATTTTCACTATTTTCGTATAGTTTCTTAATGCTTAATACTATTTTTTATTCAATTTAACTGCGGAGAAACCAAAATAGCCATAGTTTATATATAAAATATTGTGTTTTAATCAGAAAATAAACCATTTTTTTGATATAACCTCAATTTTCTAATAATATTTTCTATAGCTGTTGCCAATTTTTAAAGTGTATGTGCCCGTATCTAATAAAATATCGACACTATACGCCCTCTGGAGGAAATTTGTATAATATGTCTATAAAGTAGGACTTTTTGTTGCTTATTTTTAAATCATTGTCCAAACTATGTTCAATGCGATAGGTCTCGAATGTGTTTTTTTTTAATTGTAGCACTTATATGAGATTTGCTATTTACCTACATGTCATTTTACACTTTTGTGAAAATTATCCAAGTCTGTAATACCGACTGAGTTCCAATATGTTTTTCGACTATATTAAAAAGTAGGCAAGGCCAGCAAAACAATTTCTTCAAAGTCTTGCAGCCGGTTAACCATTCATACTTTTCATAGAACCCTACGTGAAAATGCTTGGTAAATTTCTTTGCTGACTTTTCTTCTTTCGTCTCTAAATTGATAGTATCCTTTAATCTACTAAAAATAATAATGTCCGTTTTCTCTTCAAAATTTCTACTTGAAAATCCTTTTTCAATAAAGAGCACACAATACAGACACAATTTACCACATTATTATTGTTCACAGGCACAGTGCATAGTTCCTCCATTTTATAAAAAGAAAAACAACTACGAAAAACAAACCGAAATCTATCTGAAGTCTACGATTTTCCTCACATGTCGATTCGCAGTGCGAATTGCAATATGCGTAAGGCGACGTAAAAATCGCTGCCTCTCGATCGTATTTCACGTGCCCAAACCTTAGATTAAAGAGACCGAAGATGTAACATTGCACACTGCGCATGTTATCTATTTTAAGCCAAAGTAACCCACCAATTGAAAATCATTGTTGCACGACGCCACCCGAATTGCTCCGATTTCCATTCAGCGATCACCTCCACCTGAATTTAATCACCATTGACAGCTGTTTTTTGATTTATTTGTTGGTATTTTAGCAATTTAAAGTGTTCTAGTTATTCAATTTCAAAGTTCAAAATGTCACGATGTATCTTGAAAAATTGTATGTACTTATAATACAAGTACTACTGTTATGAATATATTCGTTTTCAGCGGTAAATATTTATTAACGTTTTGACATAAAGCGCCATGGTTCTCTGGGCTGAATACTTCAGATCCGCATTAAGGGGTTTCAATAAATATTAAGCATCAGAAATCAGATTTCATATTACTTACATAAATTTACAAAAGGGTAAAATTTTGAACATTTAATTTAAATAAATAATATATAGGCATTATTGCTAACGAAATTTTGTATTTAAAAAGTAGTTTTATAAGAATGTTTTCTAAAGGTAGTTTTTAGCCCTTTTTGGTAGATAAATAAGAGGTAAAGAATCATAGTTGCTAGCTAAATTTTATTTTTATAAGGTATTTTTATAAGGTATTTTTATAAGGTATTTTTATAAGGTATTTTTATAAGGTATTTTTATAAGGTATTTTTATAAGGTATTTTTATAAGGTATTTTTATAAGAATATTAGATGAAATACAGGATGACCTACTTAAAATTTCAAGGTTCATCTTATTTGCGGTCAAATCGAAAGTGACATTGAATTTTCAGTCTTAAAACAAAGTAATCTAGTATAAGCAAAAAAAAATACTAAAGTTACAGGAGTTAGGTCCGATTCCACCGTTGTGTTAAAAGGAGATTAAAATGACAGTGTTAATATAAAAATGTCATTTTAAACTTCGTTTAACACAACGGTGGAATCGACCCTTAGTCACGTTAATAAAATGTTACATTACAAACCCCTAAACAACTCGAACATAATTTTCGTTTACTAAAAAAGATCCAAAATTTAGCAATATTTATTTATTATACAATCGAATGCGATTTCAAAGATAACTGGATCAAAAAATCCGAATCTCTAAATTTTGGAGCTAAATGCTCAGATAAAAGCAAGCGACCGATAGGGGTTACAAAAATAATGATTTATCGATAATTCTGATATTTTTTAATGAAAATCGATTTATCCGCTGTTTTTAATAAATTATTTTCGTTTTTTTTAAGATAATGTATTAATCGATTTTAAAGGAAATACAAAAAAGTAGATTTATTCAAAATAATCGATTTATCGTTTAATCGGTTTTTTAATTATTTGATTATTTTCGATTTTTCAAAGATATTATATGAAAATAATCGATTGAATATAAACGGTTATTTTACATAATTCGATATTTTTGTTATTTTTTTAAAATTATCGATTTATTGGATAATCAGCTTTTTAATAATCAATTATTTTCGATAATCGAATAATCAATTTCAAAGGAAATATGAAAAAAGGATTATTAGAAAATAATAGATAATTCGTTTTATTTTTTGGAAAATCGATTTATCATAGAATCGGCTTCTTAATTAATTGGTTATTTTCGATTAGGCGATTATTTTGGAATTATTGATTATTTTTGGTATTTCAAAGATAATCGAATTATCGATTTTAAAGGAAATACAATAAAAATAGATTATTGATAATAATCGATTGATCTAAAATAATCGATTATTTAAAATAATCGATCATTCTGTTTTTTTTGAAAATCGATTTGACAGTTAATCGACTTTTTAATTAATCGATTATTTTTGAAATACAATAAAATAGATTATTGGTAATAATCGATTTATCATAGAATCGGCTTCTTAATTAATTGATTATTTTCGATTAGGCGATTATTTTGGAATTATCGATTATTTTCGGTATTTCAAAGATAATCGAATTAACGATTTTAAAGGAAATACAATAAAAATAGATTATTGATAATGATCGATTGATCGAAAATAATCAATTATTTAAAATAATCGATCATTCTGTTTTTTTTTAAATCGATTTATCAGTTAATCGACTTTTTAATTAATCGATTATTTTTGATTAATCGATTATTTTCGATTTTTCAAAGATTATCGAATAATCTGTTTCCATGGACGAAAAAAAATGGTTTATTTGAAAATAATCGATTATTTAAAATAAACGATAATTCTATTTATATTATATTTTGTAAACACTGATTTATTGGTTAATTGGCTTTTTAATTAAACGATTATTTTTGATTTTTCAAAGATAATCAAGTAGTCGATTTTAAAGGAAATGACAAAAAATATATTGTTTGAAAATAATCAATTGATCGAAAATAATCGATTATTTTCAATGATCGATAATTTATTTCGATAATCACTAATCCCTAGCGACCAAATGACTTTTAATAGATTTAAATTTTAAAATGTTACCTGGTTTCAGACATATGCATTTCTAGAGTTTTATGTGACTCATCCTTCATAATAATTAATATGCTTAAAGAAAGAAGCCTTAATATACTTTTTTCTGAGGTTACAATACAAAACAGCATTTTCTCATTTTGACTAATTTTTAATAATATGTAATAGCCGTAGAAAAAATATAATGTTCAACTCATAAGGGTAGATTTGCAGTATTAGCCTGCGCACATGCTATTTTTATAATACTCGTAGACAATGAGTAACATTTTTTGCTCTATTAACAATATATTCTATTTCAACATTTTACTGTAATCTCTTGCAGAAAAGTCCGTAGTAAATAAACGCTAACGAAATATTCTATAAAAGGTCTTCTCTTTACATAAAATGTCGTGGCATCTGTTTGATATTAAAAAATCACGTTAATTTTATTTCATAATATAAAATTCGATTAAACACATTTTAAATAAACCTAATAGTTCATTAAGATGCTAATAAACAAAGTCCGGTCCCTGTCACAGAGTTCGGGTCGCCGCGTGTCGCCGCCCAGTTCCCCCACTCCGTTAACCCTTCTTTAGAAATTGGCAACATTTGCGCAGGTTTAAAACCGGTGTATGTTATATCTCTGGTCTCTTTTATCTAAGGTCCAAACAGACTGACTACTGTCTTGGCAAAGCAAGGTCAATAACACGAAGCGAAATCAATTGGAAGATGAGCCGGCTTTTTCAAGACGCGCTTCCGCCGACGGACTTGAAGTATATGATGTGTGCGTTTATACAATTAATTTTCTCATGGGTGGTGCGTGCGTTTGCACATTACACCAATGAATTGTTAGTATATTTACGTAATGTTTCAGAGAAAATATAGTACCTAATTTAATATTAATTTCTATGCAGTGTAAACTGAAAAATATTTATTTTTAAATCTCAAAGTGTAGGGAAGCGGTGCTTCCCCCGCTTCCATGGACCGCACGCCCCTGCTCTACAGTATTGGCCATCGAACATCTTCGAATATTGGGAATTGATCAAAATACTAGCTGCAACTGCCTATCTTATCTTCATACGAAATCCTAGGTAGGTAACCATCTTATAAACCCACCCCCTTGTTATCATTTTGGTTTTTTATGGTATTAGTAGATAATCTCCAAGATGATAAAATAATGATTAACCCTTAAATTATAGATTTCTATAATCTAAGGATTTATTCCATTTACATTTATAATACAATTATAGTTACATTTATAGATTTTGAACCCTCATATTACTTTCTATAGTCTAAGCTGAAACCTTTCTCTCCACTTGTCATTAA